AAATATGACTATTAGATGGTTAGATGTTAGATGTTAATCAGATACAATATAGAAAAGTCAAAAAGTTATAAGGAAATTGAAACTCTTGATAAAGATTCTACAGACATATTTTATCCATCTTTAATAGATAATCATTATCCGGATAAATCAAAAGAATTAGAATTGATATCATTATATGAATTTGCACAGTGGTTTGATATTACCAAAATAAAACCACAAAGTAAAAAATTGAGTTAAGATGGCTAATGGTTATTATCTTAAACATCGATAGCGTGAATATCTTATTAATCACTATAGATATGATGTCAAAACGCGGTCAGAAAATTATTTCTTTTCATTACTTCTTATATTTAAACCATGGCGAAAGATAGAAGAACTTAAAAATGGATGTGATACTTATGCGGAATCATTTCACAATGTAAAATTACATCTTGCGAAAGCATTGCAATATCATGAAAAATTAGAGGGATTGCAAGAAGCATTTAAAACTGCAAAACAATTACTTGAAGAACATTTAAATAATTTGGCAAAACAGAATGTGTCTCAAGATGATCCTGATAACCTAATAAGTGTTTAAAATGTTGAAGTGATGCAAGATTTTAAAGATCTTGGTAATAAACGCGAGGAAATCGATATATCTGAAATGATTTCAAAACTGATGAATATCAAAAAAAGAGTGTTTGATAAAATTACTAATATCGTAATATCAGATAAATCAATATTACGATTATACGTTAGTGGAGAAGAAGATACTGGCAAGAGTTTTTTGGTTAAAACAATTAGGTGCTGGATAAAACAAAATCTTAACAAAGATACTACTATAACAGCACCTATTGGTAGCAGCATTTAATATAGATGGTTTGACAGTTCGCAGGTTACTGCAGTTACCTGTTGAACATGATCATACTCTTAAATATAAATAATTATCTGACCACTTTTTGAAAATTATACGAGCTGATCTCAAAGATGTTCTTATAATAATTGATGAAGTGTTAATGATATTGAATTTGATTTTAATGTATATGTTAATGTGCTTAACGTGGGCGTTTTGTAAAATGACCGGACACTGTATAGAATGCCCGTTCGAAAAGATATTATACAAAATGCCCTTAACAAGTTTCGATCTATAAATCTATAAATATCTGGTCATTATACAGAATGCCTAGAGGGTGGTGGTCAATGTATTGAATCGCTCTGACAAGGAAATTAAAAAATGTATTTCTTATTGACAATAAATCCCTTAGTCAAAATCAACATACAGTCATTATAATCATAATTAATCATAAGGATCATTTATTGGAGCAAGGCAAAGAACATTTGGAATTACAGAGCTGACTGGTAGCTCTGCACGTGCACTTTTTTAAAACATATTTGGTTTTGCAGTTGCATTTTTTATACCTCTGTGACCCTGACACGCTGTTGTAAGATGCAGCCTTTCTCAGAGAAATCAGTTTGCTATCCGCCTTTGCAGTAATAGCAGCTAAGTCTATCAGAATAGAAGAATGTGTAGAAGCAATAGGCAGAGTATAAGTGACAACAGATGAAGATAAAAGAATGTCAGTTATAGGCAGAGTACAAGCGATGAAAGATAAAGATAAAAGAATGTCAACTATGGATTCAACACACTGCTCAACGAATCATGGGCATTATATAAAATATCCGGGCCATTTGTCAAATACCTGCCCATTATACACATTGCCAAAAAAATTGGGCATTCTATACAGTGCCCAGTCATTTTACAAAACGCATTAAACACATTGACCGTAACATATATACATCTACGACTGTCTGAAATATTCGATACTACTGATTGTGATGATGGTTGGTTTGGTCAAAAGTATGTTCTTTTATTTGGAAATTTGCTTC